TACTTGGTCAAGAAGTTGAGTAACTCCTGTTGTGTCTGGTGGAGTAAGAAAAAGATGAATTCTTTTGGACTCCAAAAAAGATAATACATCAAAGTCTAGTCTCGAGCTATGTCCATCTGATAATAAGACGATGGGTCGCTTAACATTTTTTTCATTTAAGTAGACATCAAACTGTCCCTAGAAAATAAGTCTAGACCCTCCTACTTTCGCGTGGCTTTTGGGGTGCAACCACCTGTAGTAGTAGTAGTAGAAAAATTGTTGCAACAGGTTTTCCTGTATCACCTACAGGTTTTGGCAGCCTTATTTACTTCATACACTAATTTTATTTATATCAATATATAAAAATTTATAATAAGATATATAGTATGAAGTATAAATTTGTACTTTATTGTTTTTCATTTTTTTTTTTTTTTTTTTTTTTTTAGATACTTATGCGGATTATTTGAAATTTCTGCATCAAGCTTACTCAGGTTGTTTGAGGCCAGTCTCGATTATCTGCGGGTGACGTAATAATTTGTCGTTCAGTTCTCGCGGGATGATTTTAAAACGTTGTTTTACAATATAGCGGTGACTTCTAGACTTAAAATATATATTATGGATTTATATTATTTTAATTTTATCTATTATTTATTATTTTATTTTAGTTATTAATTAATATTATAAATCTATACTCTTTATTTATAATTTCGATAATAGTTAACTACGTACTACTACTGATTACTGTTGCTATTTATCCATTTACTGTTTATTGTTTGATTATTTTCTCTATTAATTTTCTATATTTTCTGTTCTATAAACGGCTTTACCATCTATATCATGAAAATTTGTCACCATTGCAAGTTTTGCAATAAAAAAATAAAAGATAATCACAGAGCCATCCAATGCGATTGTTGCTCCTTTTGGATTCATGCAAAATGTATTCCAGTTGACAAACATGCTTACAATATGCTTTCCAATGACTCTTCTGAACGGTTTTGCCCTAACTGCATATCAAACAATATGCCATTTGCCGTACTCTCCGATCTGGAACTTAAATCAACTCTTTCCTGCAAGAATCCTTCTAATAAAATAAAATTTCATGAACCCCCTGATTATCTCAAAAACTTATTTAAAACCATGATCAATGTTTTTAATCCAACAACTAAATGCAAATACCTTGACGTTAATGAACTAAATAAATCTATTAATCCTGGTACAGAAATTTATCTTCATCTAAATATTTCTTCTCTTCCATTTCACATAAATGATCTCTCCAGCTTTGTTGGTACCATTAATACTCCTCCCATGGTAATAGAAATTACTGAGTCTAACTTATATGCAAATGATTCTGACATTACCATACATAACTGACATTACCATACAAGGATATAACATTGAGCACTGTCCAACAGAATCAAAAAAAGGTGGTGCACTTCTTTACCTAAATTCAAATCTTAATTACATAGTTCGTAGTGATCTCCAAATTTATGCCACCAAATTTCTAGAGTCTATATTTGTTGAAGTTATATATCCACTTAAAAGTAATACCATTTTTAGATGTATATATCGGCATCCCTCTTTAAACATCACTGAATTTTTATCTATCCATTTTAATCCTCTCCTTGAAAAGTTAAGTCATGAAGCAAAAAATATTGTACTAATGGGCGATTTCAACATAGATTTATTGAATTATAGAGAATCACAATTCATTTCTAGTTATTTTGAATCTTTGTGCTCTCATTCCTTATTTCCAACCATAATTCTTCCAACACGTGTAACTGCAAAAACTAAAACCCTTATTGATAACATCTTCATGAATTCATTTCCTACTGATATAGTCTCTGGTAATCTTAAAGTTTCAATCTCTGACCACTCTTAAAAATAATAAAAGCCTTGGTCCCAATAGTCTGCCAACATATTTACTAAAGCTGGTATCTCACATAATCTCCAAACCTCTATCTACTATGATGAATAATTCTTTCAAAAATGGTATTTTTCCAGAAGCTTTTAAGGTAGCCAAAGTAATTCCTATACACAAAATGGGTTCTTATCTAGACTACTCCAATTATCGACCTATTTCACTTCTTTCTAACTTAAGTAAACTATTTGAAAAAGCAATGTTCCAAAGACTAGAACATTTTTTGGAAAAAAATAAATTTATTTACAAACACCAGTATGGTTTTTGCAACAAACACTCAACAACTCATTCATTAATAGAAATAACAGAGAAAATTTGACAAGCAATCGATAATAAACACTTTGCGTGTGGAGTGTTTATTGACATAAGAAAAGCATTTGATACAGTTGAGCACACAATCCTCTTAGAAAAATTGAAACACTACGGTATAAGAGGTATTCCTCTTATCTTTGTAATAGAACACAATTTGTTTCAATTAATGGTATCAACTCAGGACTAGCTAAATCTTTTAATGGTGTTCCGCAAGGCTCGGTTTTAGGTCCATTACTTTTTCTTATTTTTATCAATGATTTAAATGTTTCTCTTAAATTTTCTACTGCTTATCACTTCGCGGATGACACCAACTTACTCCTAATTAATAAATCACTTAAAAAACTTAACAAAAATATGAATCACGATTTAGCTAATGTTGTTCAATGGCTCCGCTCCAATAAATTATCTCTTAACTCTAAAAAAACGGAAATTATTATATTTAAATCTGCTAAAACAAAAATAAATAAGAACTTAAATTTCAGATTAAGTGGCCAAAAAATAAATCCAGTTAACTCTATTAAATATCTTGGAATCAAAATAGACTTTAATTTATCTTTTGCATCGCATCTTCAAGACATAGCATTGAAATTAAGCAGATCGAATGGTATTTTAGCTGAAAATTCGTCATTTTGTTTACCATGAAACTTTGCTTAATTTATATCATGCTATTTTTCACTCTCATCTCAGATATGCTTGCCAAGTTTGGGAACAATCTAAGCAGCTTGCTTTTTTAAGACTAACTTATCTCCAAAACAAAGCTCTAAAATCAATTTACTTTCAACATACTAATTCGAACTGTAGCATACTCTATTTTTTATCTAAAGTCCTTAAATTGTGTGACCTTATTCAGCTATCAAATTGTCTATTTGTTTGGAACAAAAATCATAATAACTTACCTCTTACATTTATCAACTTTTTTAAATATAAGGAAAACTGTAAATATATTCTACGATCTGCTCTCAAATTTAAATTATCTGTACCTCTATACCGAACTGTTCATTACGGCTACGAATCCATACAACATAAAAGCATACAAACCTGGAACAATCTCCCTTCCCAATTAAAATCTTTTAAATCATTCTCAAAATTTAAAACTGCTCTCTTTAACCATTTTTTAGAAAAATACTCTTTATAAATCTTATACCTTTTTACAACTTATTATTTATAACGCAGTGCTTCTATTTATCTTTTAATTTTTCTCATTTCTATCGTGATATATTACTAATTTTAATACCAATTATTAAATTTATTATTATAAACTGATATGTTTCTATAGTATTCTCTTATCACTGTTGTTGTTATTATTATTATTATTATTATTATTATTATTATTATTATTATTATTATTATTATTATTATTATTATTATTATTATTATTATTATTATTATTATTATAGTATATTCTTTTTATAATAGCTACTATTATTTTTTTTATCACTATAATCACTACTATTACTTTTATTATTCCTACTTGTATTATAATTATTATTATTACTATCTCCATCTTATTT